GCGAGCGGACCATGCATGGTGTCCCAAGATTAATGGAAGCATGTACGTCACGGCTGTGTTGCTGCTGTTTTCTCGATGGTTTGTTTTCTCTTTCCTTTTTTATTTTTCTTCTTGGTTCAGCGAATTAATGCATATGCTTGTTCGAGGAATCGAGGTTGTACACGTATTTCTTGCATGTGCCACAAAAGTTCCTCCTGTTTTGTGTGTACCGATGGGAGTGAAAAAAAAGGATAGACAAGGAAGAAAGTTCGCCAGCAAAAGTCGTTAAGTCGCTATTAAAGAAACACATCAAGGATCGGAAGTTTGAGATTTCTCAAGTAAAGAGCCTCCGTTCCGTCTTCCACAAAACAAATTTCAAAAAGGGCTTTCGCCTCCAGAAGCTTGCCAGAAGCGTTCTGGCTTTGTAGAGGAAATGTTTCGTTGGCTGGAATTTGATGCTTTGGTTGAGCCAGTAATTTCTGTCGCTGAATGGGCTGGCGTCTTGGCTGCCGTAAACCTAGGTAGGGAGTACGTGAAATGCTTCAGGGTATTGTCATTAGGGTGGGCTTAGCGATAGTCGCCCAATGGCGGAATCAGCCAGGTGGGATCTCAGGGTGTAACGGAGGTATATGAACCGGAAGGATTTCAGGTTGGTTCACCATTAACCTGGTCCCCACTAGGAGCGCCGTGCGAAAAATCCGGTGGTGGAGGTGGAGGAGACACCTCTAGTATATGTGAAGAACGTTCTGATGAAGGGCGGGCATTTTGGTCGGTGTCTGCCGACGCAGATCTTGTACCATCAGCAATACAGGACCCTCTCAGCAGGCATTCATCCATCAGAGATGCAGGTCCGTCCCTCACGGCCAATCCAATGGCAAGAACAAGTGCAAAGGAAAACCTAGCCCATACTTCAAACGGTCTCTTTGGTGGAGGTGGCTCTGTAGTAATAGCTATGGGAAGTCCGTTTGTGGAACCTCCCGGAGGGGTATGGATTAATGCTGACGTATCGTCGGGCGAAATTATAGTGGTCTGTTTGGTTGGGGTTCCTTCACAGTGTGAAGTACGGGGGCTCGTTCTAGAGCGGTACGAGTTCGTTGGACTCCTGGAGTTGGTAGTGGACGCCATGTCATCGTTATTGTCGTAATTAATTTGACACTGGCGTTTGTTTTTGAGCCACTGATTTCTTGGTTGGCCACTTAAGAACAGACCTAGGACCCACCAGGACATCTTCCCAAGGTGGTTCCAGTTTGCATGCCATGCATTTGCAATGATTCGCCGAATCAAATTTGCCGGGTTAGGTGCGACATCCCAAATGTAGTAGTAGAAAGGGTAGAAGGGGTCTTGTCTGCTGTCAAGCGATGGGACAAAATTTCGTGACGCCGGATAAATCTTGCGAAGCCTTGCAATCTTCGAATCCAGCACCGCCACAGGGGTAATGTCCCGGTCAGTTTCGCGGTTGGTTCGGGGTCTTACGCGCAGTGATGGGTTGCTTTGGCGAAGCTCATTCTCTAGCGTGCGTGGTGCCACTTGCTTAAGTGGCTCGTTTTGGGTTTGACTATTGAACGCTGGGGATGCCATCAGAGTGCTTGGATGGATATCATCGAAAAATATGTGAGGTGATGATCCTGTAGTCGAAAAATCATCCAGGTCAGTTTCTAGAGGCGCAATTCCCCCGGACATGCTATGGCCATTGATGGCTTCATCGAACGTTTCATATCGATGTGATTGTCCCTCCAGAGCACGTAGGGTGTCCGGCTCTACCCAAGTTGAGTTGGGAGAATCGTGAGCACTAGTTGGGCGCAAATGAAAAGGGGATATTGGATCGTTGGAGAAAGTCTGGCGGTGTATTTGGCTAGGTACATGCGGTGAGGTAGCGGGTAGGATGAGTGGCTTCAATGTGCATGACCCTGGAGGGAATCGCCTCATCCTCCTGTGACGACTGGAAAATTTCCCTTGAATCTCAGGTGATAGAGGAAAAGAGGTTCCCCAATGGGATGGGTTTGATGAAGCATGTGAAATCATGGATGAGCGTTGTGAGTCTAGCGCGCGGGTAGACGGAGGGGAACAGGAGTCACCCACTCCAGAATCGAGAGACATCAGTTCGGCATCATCCGTCTGTTCAAATCTTTGCGGGGGCGAAACGTAGGGGTGATCAGATGCTTGGTGGTAGTGAACAGAAGGGTCTGTTACGGCGTTTGAGCTGGGTACCGAAAGAGGTTGGAAAAGCGCTTTTCGAACGGGAGACAAAGGAATCTTGGAGAACATAGATCGAGGCCTTGGAGTATGATATATACCGTCCGCCTGAGAAGAAGAAGTCTCAGGCACAATATTCAACCCTGACGATGGCTCCATCCGTGTTGGCGACTGAGCCAAAAGTTCTGTTAACACGTCAATCCTCCGTTCCAGGCTACGGTTCGTCGCATTAACCGCTTCCATGTTTTGTAACTTTTGGGTTGCCATTTCAATTTCCCATTGCTGCTCATGGATCTTATTTTCCTTAATTTCGACAAGTCTCTCCAAAGAACGAATTTTAGCACGAAGCTCTGATTCTTTGTCGATCGTATTGCGTAATTCGTCTTTCAATCGAGCTTCGAATTTGGTCTCCCATTCTAGCAGCTCTTGTTTCAATATTTTATATTCCGCATTGAGAGCTTTGAACTTTGCTGCTTGAATATTCGTCGTAGATGAGTCTATCGATTCGGCACGATTTAAAGAGGCGGCAAGCTGCTCTTCTAGATGTTCTATATACCTAGAAAGTTCGAGATCTGAGTTCCTGTTTGTAATATTAGGTCGTCTTTTTGGGCGGTCGAGGCTGCTGAAGGGGGATGATGACCTCCAAGACGGTTTTCTCGGTTTCGATGGCATATCTGTATCACTGTAGTCGAAAGTGTCCAGATCAATAGGAGGCCCTAATTTCCCGCTACATTTCGAAGGAGAATAAAGGGGGAAGTCATTGGTAGATGTAGGTGGGTCCGGAGAAGGCAGATCATGGAACAAGGAAGCTGCTGGAGGTCGCGGAGACTGACGATACCTCCTCTGCGTAGAGTTATTGATTTCTTCAAGAATACTCGAGCGGCGCGTGTGTGATGTGGTCAGTTTTGAGAGATTGCAGCTTTGATCTATGCTGGCAGTATCATCGCTCTGTTTCTCTGTATGTTGATCAGAGGCCCCCGAAGGCGATCGCCATCTTGTGAAAGGAGGGCTTGGTTTTCGTGACTGGAGTAACGCGCCACGAAAACCTGCGTTTCGAAGTTGGAGCCGTCGATTCTGGGCGCTGCAAGGCTTTTCAAGCGGGTGTTGGGGTGGAGAAATGGATGAAAGGCGGGTGGGGTGGAAGATACTGGTACCACGGGAGGAATGTGGTCGTGAGGAGGTGGTGGTGGTGGTGTTATTGTTGGGGACAGTATCGGAGGGTGACAAGGAGGTTCCGGAAATCGTAAAGACATTGGTGTCCATGGCGGAAGCCCACAAGATAACAAATTATTTTTAACACAGGCGTCAGAAGCCAGCTCCATCACAGTCCAGTCCCGAAACATGTGCGAAAAGGGGGCTCTGAATTAGTAGAGGGGAGCGCACGCGAATCTGAAATGGACCGAGGAACAATGGAGGGCCCCTGAATGATGACCAAATCTTGTGCAGGGGCCAGAATAAGAGATGATGCGGGAGGAAAGCGCTGGAGATTCCACGAGAAGTTCTAGTGTTGTTCAGCGGCCAAGTTGGTTGAAAGATCCCTTATCAAAGTACGGCGTAGAGGAGCAACCCCGGACGGCACAATTGGAGATCAGAGATCAGGTTGACTGGATCTTGCAAGCTATTATTGTTATTTTGCATGACAGCCCAATGTTTGTTTTCGTCGGCCCGCCGCTCTTTTTGCCATCCGAGATGTTAAGTTAACTTACCTGTTGTTGCTAGGGAAGTCCGGCCGGAGCAAGGGCCGAGGAACATCTAGCAATTGGCTTGTTACCATATTGGGACTGGTAGCCGCCTAGACGATCACGTGATAGCGCCACAAACTCCGCTTTCGGAAATGATCCAGGGTCGGGCTGTTGATAGTTATTATTTTTAACAGCTCAACACCTTCGTCATTGGAACCGGCACCCCCTTCTCTAATTCTTGCTGCTTACTTTTAAGGATAATTGAAAGGATCTAAATATTGCTGCGCTTGGCCCCGCAACCAAATCCCACCAGCTCTCTGAGTTCCTTGATATTTTGGTATTACGCATGCTTCTGTATCTGACAGTTCTAGTCATGAATACCACGGAATCCCCGATAGGAACTGGTCACTGATGTCTCGTAAGTGTAAGGCACGATAGTTAAAGGTTCTATGATGTGATCATCATGCTCTAGAAATTCGAGCCTGAGGGGATTCGGCCCCATTGACGTTAACATCCTCGCCACCATTGGGGCTCGTGAGGGCCGAACACTTGAGATATCATCTTCTCGATACTGTCAATTGGCTAAAGTTGCCGCCGTGATATCACGTTTGTGCTGTCAGAAAACCTTACAAGCATTTCTACAGAATGTGCACAGCCAATTGGTAAACACAGTGCTTCCTTTCGTGCGATTAAAAATTATTACTGGCAGTTAGTTCCAAGCTGGAATTCTTCTTTTTTTTAGTTATATGTTGGCAAGCTTGAGTGCTTCAAGCTACTGCACATGCACCTGGCTTACGAGATGGAATGAATAGAGCTGTTCATTATCAAATAACATATTCTGAATTTTTCACACACTATCTTTATTATAAATATAATAGCAAAGCAATTGAGAACACTCACTCCTTGTAATGTTTTTATGTTTTGCCGGCGCAGCGGAGGATTCTAATTGGCTAAAGCCTAAGTAACAGGATTATTCAGCGAGAAAAATAAAAATTTTCTAACTGGTGTAAAACATCCGTACAACTTCCCAAAAAGCAGCAACCCACTGATACTGAAGGTCTCCATACTTTACAACGAACCTTCTGCCAGTGACATTCTCTGCTTCAATAATAAAACAGCCTGAAAATAAAACTGTGAAAGGAATTCATGGCTCAAGGCGAACTCAAAAAGTCGAAGGCAGCGTCCTCTGCCAAAAGGTACGCCCTTCCCTCCAAAACACATATACAGCACGGTTGATTTTATGAAGAGAAATAGCCAAGATATACTTATCAACCTGTAGATCCAATGTCCTGGGGCCCAAAAAGGGCGCACGAGTAATCGCACCCAAGAAAGCAAACCTGATTAGGCAAAAGAAGATCACAAAGGTACGCAAAGAAAAATTTCCCGTCAAATTCCATCTCGGCCCTGAAGGGGTTTTGGCTTCGTCAGAAAATGGACATCATACGAAATGAAACGGAGCCAATTCGGCAAAACCCCAGTGGGAAGCTACGTGAGAATATTGGGTTCTGACTTTTCACCTAACTAGAAAATCTCTTCTGGTCTAACCGCTCGAACGGAACGGGTACTTGCTGAAAGAGCGGGGCACTTGGAGTTACTTGCTGGAGGGAAGAAAAGTAAAGATGGAAAGGTGAAGAAATGAGGGGATCTGTGGAAAAAAAATTATAAATGGTAGAGGTTATTGCATACGGGCGCTGAGCAGACAAATGGGAGCACCCAGATAACATCCAATGCGCTGCTGGGAGAAGGATTTACGTACGACAATTAGATCGCCCTTGGTCCGTATGACTAGTATCGTCATTGTCATCGCCAGCCAATACTGCCTTCGCCATGTTCTCACCCCCAATCGACCCATTTGAAAGCTTCGTCAAATTACCGCGACTGTGACATTCCTTCATACCGACTCTGAATCACTATTCAAGGACAGCTTATAAGGAAATATCCAGTTTGCACGTTTCACTCCACCGAGCAAAATACCCCGGAAGAGAGATACGCCTCCAGAACCTCCAGAAAAGCCACTCAAGACAGAATCTTGGAAAACAAGAAAGGACTCAATTTAAATCGAATTTTGGAGCTACTGTATGAAAGAACTACGACCGAAGAAAACGAGGAGGGAGAAGAAAGTTGGGTGGTGACGGACTGGGACATACATGAGTGGACGCCATGTCGCTCAGCCTCGTCAACCTCGCCTAAGTACGTGCACGCCGATTGGACCGGGCATCATCAAATCGCTCATGATGCGTCGCATGAAAGCGGATCACCTTCGTTGCCATGATAGATGGCGCATGTACTCCAGCTTCTCATGATTGATATGTAGAAATACGGAATAATATTAACGAAATCAGGTTTTCTTTTTTTTTTTTTTTCTTTTCTTTTCTTTTTTTTTTCCCACGTACTGCAGTATGCTTCATTTTTTCCTCCCCCCCCCCCCCCCCCTGCTAGTCAGGATATGATGCCATAGGCTAGGAAGTACAGACACGTTTGACAAATGAACCAGCCAGGGCTATGAGGGGAAATCATATATGTATATATATCTTACGAGGCTTCGTACGCTCGCTTTTCGGGGCTTTCGGCCCGGTCGCCGCGATATGCAGGAAAATGAAGCTTACCGATATTATCATTGGGTGGCTGATTCTACGTTCGAGGCCAACCGTGCTGGCAAGCAGAAGTTTCCAAACCTCCGTAAATGGAACAGAACAAAAAAGAATGCAGGGCATTGGTTAGAAATGGTTAGAATATTAGGATGAAGGAATATATTATTAGACATTGGTATCGTAAATTATGAAGCTATATACATGCGCATAAAAAAAAAAAAAAAAAAAAAAAAAAAAAAGAATGAATATGTCCATGTGAAGATGAGGTAAGGGTAAATATTCGAATATAAGCAGGGAACAGTGGCTTTTGCGGAACGGCTTCTTTGGCTGTTCAAAGGAGCAGTTTGGTGTATGTCCACACGTAGCCAGAATCCTGCTCTGGCATGGTGCATGTGAGTATATATATTAAAATAGAGTTGAGGTAACAAGAAAAATGATCCATGGATAACATTCCCAGCAGAATAATGATCAGAGTAAAGCACAATTGCGTTATTACGTTCAGATATAGGCCAATGAAAAGTAGAAGAGAATAGGAAAAGTAGAAGAGAGTATTCACTTAACGAGAAAGACGGGTAGAAGAATCATTCCACCCCCTAGCGCCGCAATCTACTTGCAAAAGCTCGAGATTCGACCCTGCACACCTGCTTCTCGAATAAGTTCCTTGCCTCTCGCCATCCAGACATTAAACCCGTCTATTGACGGGTCGGACGGGAAATCATCCCAAATACTCGTCGCATCTGCATAGGTTGACCACACCCCATGGAGCTCCGTCGGGGCCGTCCACGCAGGCAACTTCAACTTGACAGATGAATAATAAAAGTACAAGACCTGGCAGAGGCGGCGAACACGGTCCTCGTAGCGCTCCTTATTGGCATCTGGTGTGGTGCCGCCGTCGCCTAGCAGTTCCCACCATGACACCCGCCACCGGAGTGTGAGCAGGATCTGTCCCAGCTGTGAGACAAATTTTATAAAGGAGTCGTAGGGAACGCTGTCCCATTTGTTCTTGTTCAGGGCGTTTTGAAGAGCGCGGTAGCCGTCTACTTCGAGTTTGCGACAGAATATGCGGGAGAGTTGGGCTGCAAGGAGGATGTCGACGCAGTCTTCTGGATCGTGGACGTCCATGGGCCGATCAGCTTGGTCGTCAGATATGGGGACAAAATCGTAGCTGGCACGACTGGGCATGTTGTTCCATTGGGATAGGAGGGACTGTATGTGCTACACATTAGCCGTGCAATTACACACTAAGGGGCTGTCGCTGGAAGGGCTTATGCTTACAAAAAGATTGTTTACTGGATCGCAGTCCTTGACGCAGCTTGTCCACTTGTTGAATTTCAGGATTTTGCGATCGATGAAATCCCCAAGGTCATAATTAGAGCTGTCTTCCGCTTTACTGAATCCCTTGAGGTAATTATAAGTTTCATTCAGGTCTAATGTATACAGGGTACCCCACGATTGACGAGCCCGGATGTTGAATCGTCCACGACGCTTGTCAAGGAGGTCGAGCAAATCTTTCATTTCGAATGTAACTGGTAGCTCCATCCTTACCCGCGTCGATCCGTCTAGGGTTGGATGATTGATTGCTCGTTGGGCTGGTAAGAAGTTAGATGTCAGGAAGACGAATACATAAATCGAAGCGCAAATTGAATAGCAGACCTACAAATATAGTTGCACGTTCCAGACTCAACAATTTGGAAAAAGTCTGCTTTCACGCATGGTTGCTTGAAAACAACAGTTTCGGCCTCTTCCATGCATGTTCTGGCCTGCTCGACGCATGTGCTGCATGGACTTTCGCCGGAACACTAGTGGCTAACGATCAGAAATGTCACGCAGGTGAAGGAAAAATAGCTTATTACCTTTTTCTTCGCTAGACGGCACCATACGCATACACTTTTATCCTTTCTGCGCATCGCAGCATTTCGCCGCCCGTCGAGGGATAAGGGGCCGTTACGACGTGCTCTGGGCACCGCTGGGATACATGCCGAAGGTTCCAATGACCCGCCAAGCCCATCCTCTTGAACAATCTGTATAGCCATCGTCTTCACAGGCTTCTTGTCCACAGCACCCGTATTCCTATTCTTCCGTTTTCGGGTTGTGGCGGCACGAGTGCTTTGGTTCGGCTTCTGGGGCATTCCTCTTGAAGGCAACTCGGTTATAGTCATATGGTTCGATCCATCTGGGGAGGGGAGCAGATTACTCGAGAAATTTTCTTTTATGTTGTTCACAGGACTGAGGTGGTGGGTTTTCTGTGGCGCTTCCTCTTCGGAGTGGCTACGCCATCCTATATATTGGCCATTACCTTCCTCCGTATATTTCGAATTGAGAATGATATGCGTGGTGTGGCCTGAAGTGTGCATACGAGTCTTGTCAGAAATGGTTGGTGGCAACTTTTTCTTTGGTTTATCATGATATTCAGTGCCCTCCTGCTTGAGTGGCTCGGTTGGCAGTACCACAGACGAGAAATCTGGAATCGATATATTGTTCGGATCTGAATCTGGGTACACTCCGGGAAAATCTAATTGCGACAACGGAAAGTATGAGATGGAGTAGTCCCTCGTCGTGCCATTCTCTTCACATTTACGAGGGTCGTCGTCTGTTGATATGGTAGATTCGTATGTCTGAGCAAAAGAAGTTTGTCCTTCTTGCGGGCTGGAAGGCCACGACTTGTGTAGATCCTGGAACCCGGCTTCTGGTTCATGTGCGTGCTGGAAGCGGTCTGCATACTCACTGCCAAAGCCCGTCTCTTGATAGTATGGTTGATCCAAAGGTAAAGAGCCGAAATCTCCAGTCAGATCATTAAGCCCCAAGGCTGAGTTAAATTTTCCAAAATTTGAGAGCGTTGTACTGGGATATTGATCCGTATCAGAGGATGTAGATATATCAAAAAGGTGCCAGGGTTCTTCATTGATCTCTGGGCTTCCAGAGCCAAGCTTGATTTCCGGACTTCGGGCATTTTTGTCGAGGTTGTATGCTTGTTGGATGGTACCTGGGAGCCTGTTTAGATCGCCTTCAGCATTGGTTTTACTACTTATCAAGTAGGGTCATCGTACTTGAAGTCAAAACCACCGGTAAAACCACATCTGCCTGTCATCATTGTATTCTGTGATTCTCCAGGCTGATGGAGCAAAAGAAATTCATCGACATATGATTCAATGTCCGGGTCTCCTTGTATAGAATCATGGCTGGGGTCGAGCTCGGGGGTGTGCTGCGGAATGGGATTGTCCCACGAAGGCGAAATAGGATAGATGTCCGACATTTGTCTTGTTCAATAATCGATAGTCAATATTCGCTGCTGCTAGAGGGAGCTCATATTGTAGAGAGGGAATTGGAGGACAGCAAAATTTGAGTTATTCCCTTTTGGTCTCTTCAGTTTCCCGTCCACGGGGTATTCAAAGACTGAAGGAATACATGGGTACAAGCCATGCCCCCGCCCATTGCAAGGATGGTGCTTGTGGTATGATGTGGTGTATCTGAGGGAAATCTCACCTCTTACATCAGGGTTCCGAAGTCAGAGAAGACTGCCGGGGAAAAGGGTTTCGAAGTTGGCCGGTAGTTAGCTACTTTGGGCAACCGCCGTTGCTGGGTTTCAATGGCAACTCAATTTTACTTCGTCAATGGAGTTAAGGTCTTCATGCAGATGAGATTTGGCAGAAGAGAGAGCAGCAAGCTAGGTATAAGAGCAAGTGGGGTGGAATTGAGGGAGAAAGTAAGGGCCACGCTAAAATCCGAGAAGCTGGGTTTGGCAGGGCTTTAAGTCCCATGGAGGAGGTGATCGGTAACGGTGATGCAAGAGAAATGGGTAAAAGCGGTTATGCACGTATGTAGTTTATCCAAGGTGTGTGAAGGTCGGATTGGTGGAGAGCATTTCGAGAGTTGAGGACAAGTGAGGTGAGACAGAAGCAATTGGAGGAAGAAGAAGAAGAAGAAGAAGAAGAAGCAAATTCTAGTCGAGTCATGAGATCTCTCACAAACAATCCATGCTTCAAAAACAGTTTCTTGGCCCAGGCCCTAGTCGCCAGCTAACAGAACGGGCAAGATGGTCGGGAAGAGGATTCCGTGGCAATCATCTGGCTGTGTCCAATGCGCATCGCCAACCCCCAACCTGAACGAGGGAGGATCCAAGCTACCCGCGATTCCACGCAGAATGGAATGGGCGATGATGGTGACATCGACCAACAGTCATAGAATTTTTTATTTTTTATTCTTTTTATTTTTTTCTTTCTCCTTTGCAGATTGCCAACGCGGGGCCAGCGAGAGTTAACGTACGGAGCAGAGGGTTTTCTCTCTGGCTTGTTACAGCGTAACTAAGCTGTTGGCCAGGTTGGCGTTCGTGGCCGGCAGAGTCCAGGGCGGCGGACGTGCTCACCGGAGCTCCGCATTCAGCTAAATTGCTTGGCTTTTGTACGAATTCTCGGCCTCAACCGCCGCCTAACTAAGTCCGAGGGATCTAGTCTGTCTGGTACGGTACGGAGTACTCTGTATAATTTCTCCGAACCCAGCGGTTGGGGATGCGGAAACCTGGAATAATACTCCGTGAAAATAAATCATCAGAATATGTTGCTCGAGGCTGTATCCCACTTGCCGGATGCAGCTGAATAGCATCCCTTCGTTTATGCTGTTCTAAGATTACTGAGGCTTGTTGAGATTTTCTGCCTTGCTTCTGCGAAGCGAACTGTTTCGTTTGATATTTGATATCTTGGATGTTGTTGCCGCTCCATGCTTGTTGGTTTGCATGTAGGAGAGTTGTTGTAGGAAAGAGGGCACACACACACCGGCCGGGCACAACGATACGACTTTTTGAGACTCAAGGTGTGCGGAGTGTTTCTGTTGTTACCCCTTTTCAATGCATCAGCCAGCAGTCGAGCGCCTATATCTTCAGCAGCCACCTTCCGACCTGCACAGAATCGCATTTTTTTTTTTTTTTCTCTTTCTTATTAGGTCATAGAGATTCCACCAGTCCCACTCATACTTCCACTTATGTTTGGGCTTTGATTGAAGCCCAGCCTTGTCAATTCCCGGCACCCGTTCGTTTTAGACCCGCCTCCAAGCCAAAAAAAAAAAAAAAAAAAAAAAACAATAATAACATTACTCTTGCCACAATGCATATCCTGGTACTGACTTGATCTTTTATAATAAATTTTTTAATTTTTAATTCTGCCTTTAGTTCTGTTGTTCGGTTGCCTTGGGTCGCTCCCGCATCCCAGCCTGGACGGGCGGTAAAAAAACGATGAGACTGTTCCTTTAAAGCACTGGTGTGAGAAGTCTGGCTGATTGCAAGTCATCTCAGGTAGTAAATGATGACGGACCGCCTTCTCAGAAATGTTCACCATATCTGTTCCCCTTCGTCAAAACCCTAGAAAAAGCCGGCCACTTGGTTTCCGTTGTCATCCCTAATTCATCCCGGTCCTGGATTGGCAAAGCACACATCATTGGCGAGACTCTGGAGGCGACTTACATTTCTCCAGAAGCTCTCGTCAAAGATACTGGCAATTCCGCCCAGGGTACCCACGATCAAAATGATGCCGGAACTAATGGTCTGAACGTACCCAGCAATCGGCACGGCAGATCAACCCCAGAGACTACACGGCCTTGGGTCGTCGTCAACAATGGCACCCCTGCTGCCTGCACCCAACTAGGCATCTACAGCCTTTTTCCCGATCGCGAGCCCATCGACCTCGTAATTTCGGGGCCAAATCATGGTCGAAACGCTTCAATCATATACGGCTTGGCGAGCGGCACTGTAGGTGGCGCACTCGAGGCTGCGACCTGCGGCAAGAAAGCCATTGCACTATCCTTTGCGAGTAAAGAGAAACAGCCAGCAGAGACTATCCAAGCTGCTTCCCGGCTATCTGTGAAACTCATCGAACGCCTCTCTGCCCACTGGCCTGATGAACGCGTGCAGTTATTCAGCATAAACGTGCCGATGCGGCTGGACGTCGAAGAACGACCGGCTGTTTACACAAACATGTTGCCAAATTCCTGGTCCAAATCTAGCCTCTACCAGGAAGTTGATATTCATACTTCTCAGTCCAAGAAGACCAGCAACAACAACATCAACATCATCAGCAACAGTAGTGATGATATAAACATGCGTGAGGGAACATCCCCCACGAAACGTGGAGGTGACGACGACCAGCGGATACCGCCGCAGCTGGCTAGATATTTCAAATGGGCACCAGAGCTCTCCGATATCCAACGAAGTGTTGAGGCGAGCAAAGTTGGCACTGATACATACACGGTTATGAACGGATGGACAAGGTTGGTCTTTCCCCCCGCTTCCGCTCTTCCCTCCGCTCTTGATGCGCTAACGCCTAACACAATATGGGAACATAGTGTCACTCCCCTTGCAGCGAATTTCAGCCATGTATCTGGATTCTCGGGCGAGTTTACGCTTTGAACACAAAAATTACATCGCAAAACGCGGTACTATATCTGGTTGTTTGGTGGGGAGCGAGCGGGGCGCGGCGCGCGGGTGGGCATGCAAATCTTTTTACAAAAGGGATAGAAAGGAGCGGAACTCATATTATCACCTTCCCTCTTAATAATACTTATCAGCTCTCTTTCCATAACTATCATTTTTCACGCACCCCGATATTCCACGGCTATGTAACTGCTAAGGAAGCATCCATAGATTTCGTGTGTCCTAGAATTGAGGTCATATTTCTTAACATTCTATTACCCCTTCCCTAACCAAGTTGCTCATGTATTCAAAATCCAGCCGTTAAGGGAGGGACGGGAGTGGGCTGGGGGGAACTGGCCAAGACAATGCCAATGTAATAGCTATCATAGACCAAAGCAAATCTTGCTGGAATCTTGAGCGGTCAAGTTTGGCATTCTCTGGTGCCATGCCTAATCGCCCAATGTGCCTCCTCACGAATACTTTAGAGTCATATAACTGTATTATTGGAAATAGCGATTCTAATGGTGAAGATGGCGTAGCTGGCTTAGAATAGGGTGAAGAAGGTGTGTGGGAGTCTGCCCAAATGTAGGATCCGATCCTGGTTGACCGATAAAAAAAGATGGCAAAAATCGAATCTCTGAAGAGATCGAGATTGCTGTTCTCTGGAAATCCTTCCTTCTGGGATTTGCCCTGTACCTTCCAGGTCGGCTAGGTGACCGAGATCAGAATTATGGCGTGGGTATAGTTTAGTTGCCGTCGGGGAGGAAGGGCCAAGGGGAGGGGCGATTGTTCATCCCTTATATTGGGTAAATAGAATAAAACGAACGATGGGCGTTAGAGGAAGATGGAAAGGCAAAAACGGCTAATGGATTCATCAATCTAGTACCGTACCATTTCCAGCATCTGTTCACAGTCAACCCAGCAAAACCCAGCCAAGTGAAATAAAATGGAACACGAAAAACAGAAGAACAGCACCGACTCCACTAGCTACAATAGGAAAGTACATACACTACTTAGTTAAAAGATGTAGGGGCAGTAATTACAAAGGAATTTATAGCGCTCTAGCTGCTTCTCCGGCACCGCTTTCCACCGCGGTGGCTTGTTCTGCCTTCATCTTTCCTCGACCTACACCACCTTCGCCAACTCCCATTCTCCGTGCGACATACCGCTGTGCAACAACGCCAACACCAAGAGTTAAAGCCTCCTCAATCCATTCTGAAACCCATTCGCGCGGGTCAACGCCGCCGCTCTCGATGATTTCTGCAATCGCGTCCGGCATGGTAGAATGGACAAAGTCGTCAGGGTTGTCTGGATTAGGTGGTGAAGGGGGGGCGGCATCAAGCCAGTCAATCCATTTCTGTGGAACGGCTTGCGTAACGGCATGAAAAGCAATGCCGTGAATGGGATCATGAAGATAAAGTGCAAAGAAGACTTCCTCTTCAATATCTTCCTTTACCTCCACTATACCTTGAGCTGGTTTTTCTGTGTCTCCACTGGGGCCTGCTTGGAAAAGCTCTGGTGGTGTAGGTTGGGAAATCGCTTGGATGGCAAGGAAAATGTCACTGCTACGGACGGGATTGGACTCCGATAGTATCTCGGATGCTTGTTTGGCGGCTTCCTCAACGCCACCTCTTGTAGAAAAGTATTCCGTTGCATATGCTTCTGCACTTGCTCGGACAAGTTTTGTACCGGCTACTGCACCCTTGATGGCCGATATAGATCGTGGTTTCCCGACAGATACCGTACGCCACCACGGGCCATCGTTCCAGCCAGCCGATGAGCTGTGACCTACGTGAGCATCCGAGCCACGTCTGGGTGCGGCTTCCCGACCGCGTTGGATGACGAGGAGATCTCCTCCTTCGACCTGGGACATTACTCGAGAGAAGACTGAATAAATCAAAGGATCCAGCGAAGGATAGCCCGAGAGGTCATGTGTGATGTGGATTTGGAGGCGTTCATGAGAGGAAATAGGAGGAGCTAGAGTATGGAGGAGGGAGGTAAACGTCGGGATGGCTAGGGTTCGTAGCTCGCCGCCTATAAGTATTAGAATAGCCCATAGAAAAGGGGGTTAAAGGATATTTCTTAGCAGTGAGATTTTCTTTTTGCGACTCACCAAGACCTCGAAGAACTCCAACATTGCCTCTAACCTGATCAGCCCATTTTTGAGCTTCCTCGTTTTTCTGAATCTCCTTTACGGCAGCCTCTGCCTGTTTCACAGCAGCTGAAGCAGTAGCAAAAATTCCACCCCACCAGCCGCCGCCACCGCCGCCTCCGGTCTTGCCTGCTTCCTCCGATGTTGGAGTATCCCCAGCATCTGACGAAGTTGTTTCCGGAGGGGTTATGCTTGTGTGATATGCTCGGGAGCTATCTCCTGATTTTCTAGGTGGCATTTTATCGTCACTGAGCCTGCCCGAAGGCGGGGTTGTCGCAGAGGTTGGTTTAGGAGATTTGTTTAAAGTGGAGGAAGTTCGGGGTGTTGGAGGTCTTTGAGAAGCAAGGTCCTGAAGTTCAGCTAATAGGTCTTGCTCTGACTTTTCTTGCGTCCCTCCCGCTGCTTGGGTTGCTCCATCATCGACACCAAGGTCATCGAACTGAGCAAGCAGCTCGTCATTTGTAGGGGCCGTCTTCCCACTCTTTGACATGATGGATTTCTCCCAATTGTCCGAAAGTCGGTCGCTGTGGATACACCGCTGATCGTTTTGACGCAGATTCTAGAAAGTTAATAGTGAATCCTCCCTTGCAAATGAGATCGCATTCTCGAAATAACAATCGAAGTGAAAGGTTTGGGCTTGTTAAAGCTTGAATGCTGTTCGAACGACGTTGGTGATGGCGCCAAGCTAAGTAGTTCGTTCCCCACACTTTCCAGGACGGAGCGTTTGAGCTAGTCCTGAAACGGTACACCAGTTTTTAGTCACGTGAATTGATCTTTGGTTGGTACCTAATCCCAACCTATTTATAGTGTACTCGCGTAGATAGATTCAACAATGTTTATTGTTGGGGGTCCCGCGGTTGATCGGCCCTTCTACCAGCAGTGCGCTGGTGGTGATCGAGCTCTTTTGTCCCAGTAGCCTACAGGTTATGAGACTGTTAAGCGTGAGCCCCGCTGTGATCAACATGCATGGGTTCGATCCCAGAATGGACTTAAAAATTCTCAACAAATACCCTGGACATTTAACAGTGCCAAGAGACATCCCAGGAGTGTGCCCTAGAAGTCCCTTGAGCCCTAGGACTGAGTGAGTCCACTAAGAGGAGCCACTGTGGGGAGCCACTGAAGGGAGCCACTGAGAGGAAGTACTGTACTCTGTGATAGCTGGTCCGAGGGGGGGTGTTGGGGGTCCCGCGGTTGATCGGCCCTTCTACCAGCAGTGCGCTGGTGGTGATCGAGCTCTTTTGCCCCAGTAGCCTACAGTTATCCTCCAAGAGGTTATGAAGCCCTCAATAAGCTACGGAAAACCGCTGATAATGTGCCAACCACGCCTCCACGTATCGTTACACGTGCCTAGATGTCTCTTTTTGGAATAGTTGAACCCCTCGGGTGGAACGCCGGATCTAACAAGGGAATACTTGCCAACGCGAAGGACAAGAAATCCGGAAATGCCAGAAACACAATGAGAAATGACAGCGGGCTTGCGAACGCCTGCAACGAACCAAAGAACGATTGCCCTAGGAGCTTTCAAGGTGGATGATACGATCGTGGAAGAACGACCAGACGAGTCCAATAACGATTTTGAAGATCCGGTTGGAGACACCAGCGAGATGTTAGATAACGCGTATGGCCCCAGTGGCTATGATACAAATCCTGCAAGTGAGGAAACTCGTATGAGGTTGGAGATTGCGAGGCTCCAACATGAGATTGAAAGGATGAAAGCTGGCAGGGCTAATGAGACCCTGGCTAGTGATGACAATGTCAGTGCAGATCTGGCAGAGTTTTTACAAAAACAAGGAAGGACTTCAGCTCTTATGAAGATCCTGGGTGAGTTCCGAGATCAGGTTAGGCCCATCAAGAAGCCAGTTATCCTCACAGGCTCTGAGAACTACCCAATGTGGAAAGAAGAGATCCTCCTAGCAGTGAGGCAATCTCGTACGATTGATATCATTGACAACAAGCAAATTGGTCCCCAAGGAGAACGCAAGCAACGACATGCAGCGGTTTTGGGAAGAACATAATATGTGGTTGTATAACCACATGTGGTCTGCGATCGCCCCGCAGGCGAAATCTCATTGTACAATACAGATGGACTCTGAGCTGTCTGCCTATTCCCTATGGAAGATCATAGAGAAAAACTTCACTGAAAGACCTGGTGTCCGGAGGACAAGGTTATACAAGGAGATGGCGAACCTATCTGCCAAAACGAAAGGCTCAGATCGCGCCTTTATCGAACGCTTAATTGCCATAAGGACTGACTATATCCGCCTGGGGTATAGGGTTGAAGACTTCATGTTTTCTGACTGCCTACTTACCGGAGTAAGCAAAGGGTGGGCCTCATTCATCAAGAATCGAATGGACCAGATCGACAAAGACAATGCTCAACCCCTAGAGGCCGACTTCATGGGCCTCTGCCGTGATATTCTACTACGTCTCCCAGCAGTTGGAGAAGGCCCAAAATATGTGTCTAGGAATCCAACCAACAACGCGAGGGAATTGGACAATAGGAAGGGCAGGAGCAAGGAAAAGTATGAGGATACGGACCCCAGACCTGAACGTAGGAATAATGACATGAAGACCTGCTACCACTGTCAAAAAGTCGGTCATATCCAAAATTATTGTTGGAAGAAATACCCCGAAAAACGTCCTACCAATCCCAATCTCAATACCAATAGAAACAAGGATAAGGGACAAGGAGAGTGAGAGCCTGAGCCTCGTTGCATAATGCGAATCGGACTGGGCAGGGGCGGACAAATCAACCACCGGCTACATTATATTGATAAACAGGTCGCCAATCTCATGGCAGTCGCAGAGGCAGACATCTATCGCCAAATCGACCACGGAGGCCGAATAGATTGCAGCTAGCGAGGCAGCCTGTGAGATAATCTGATTGAATGATATGCTACATGATGCTGGGTTAGTGGAAGGAAAAGCGAAGATATGCTCGCAACTATGAGTTGACAATAAGGGTGCAATTGATCTAGCAAAGGGGGAATCTCTGAAGCGACGATCGCGTCACATTGAGATAAGATACCATATCCTCCGCGATTTGGTTGAAAAAGGGGAGATCATGATGGAACACGTTGGTTCCATGGCCAATATAGCCGACGGCCTCACCAAGCCGCTGGCAAGGCCAGCTTTTGAAGAATTTGTTGAAAGGATTGGTTTGAAAGAGATCAGGAAAGAATAAGGTAATGGTGATACAGTGTATCAATGGATTTCGTGTGTATTTGTTGATTTTTACGGTTATTGCTGTACAGACGCTTTTCCTAAGAAGGAAATCAGGGTCTGATTGATGTAATTAATTATTATTGCGTTTTTGAAAGAATTGAGGATGGAGCGGGTGGCAGGCATTAGTGGGTGTTGGTGATTGCTACGGAGTACACCTCCTCTAATCAACGTGCCACCCAACCCTATTTAGTGTAACTCGCGTAGATAGATTACACACACACAACAACGTTATCCTCCAAGATTTTTCAAGACTCTAGAGATTCATCTCGACACAATACTTTTCAGACCTGTCAGAAAATGCTTTGCCTGGTTTTATTCAATCTCCACAGGCGTGATTGCTCCGTGGGCTACAGAGTAAAGACGAATTGAGAATTGAACATCCGAGGACAACAAATAAATTTTAGTTGAGACAGAATAACACGTTCATATTACTAACAACTAACTTCCAGCATAAGCTTCGCTCGTAGAAATAATCCTACAATCCCGGTGCTCTAAACTACTACTAGTTATTCCTTGTCGGCATCTTCCCGGCGTTGTACATGTACCTCGACAGAGCCGATGCCGAGATCTGGCGTGTTGGTTGTCCAAATGTGTCCATGGGTTCTACCCGGAGGTTGTTGAGACTCGGCTCATTCCAACATCGGGTATGCGTTGAAAAGTTTACAATGCTTCAATGGCATGTGGGATATAGTGGTATATGCCCGTTGTTGATGGGGTGAGTTGGATGGAGGAGATTGAACCGGAAGATCCTGGCGGGGTTAAGTACGATCGCCCACATACCGTTACTTTTACTCCACGATTGGCGTTGCATAACTCTTCTCTGAGTGGCATAAACCCTGGTCAAAAGTGGAGAATTTCCTTTTTTGGGGTCTTGGCGTGAATACAGCTCTCTAATTGGTGTTAGAGTTAAGCGAAGCACAATCCTGTGACATGCTATATCAAGTTATCAACCACCTCCCACATCAACCACCTCACTGTCAATTAATTTGAGTCTTTGAGATCCTTAAATTCTGCTTCTATATGTGATCATGGCACTGAGATTGTGACACTGAGATTTTTCAAGAATTGTCTGCAAGAAGAAGAGCTCATTCAAGAAACACTCTGTGGCTGAGAATTCAGAGACTATGATTTTAAAAAAACAGATGATAAGTGTGAAGTCAGTTTACAGTTGTTGATATTGAGATTTTGACTCTTTATATTGAAAATGAGACTCTGCACAAGAAGAATGTGACTCTGAAGACTAAATTCAGAACTATTATAAATCTTCTTCAGATCACTCAAACTGTTCTTGAGAATGAGATGTAAGTCAGTGAGATGTTTTTTCCTTTTTTTCTTTTTTTACTTAGTTAGCTGGTGCTTTTGCACTGAAAAATAAATCTCTATTTGTTTTTACAATTCTATCTCTTCTATTATTATTAATAATAAGCCATAAAATCAATCTTGCAGGGCCTTCCATTTTGAGCTTAGCTCCACAATGTCTTTGCACACAGAAGCTCGTGTGCATTAAGATATTTTTACTATCTTATCCTAAAAGGTGCGTACCGAATACCTGGGGCCTCCAGTTTTTGTATGCTACTCTAGTACCTTGGGCTCAGCTGGCGTTTCCTTTTTCTAGAATCCTGATTGAAACAATATTACGTTGGTACCAGCAGCTTTTCTAAGTTCACTACTTCTCCATCGGAGTCCATCCTGCAGTCGTCACCATGCGCCTCCCATACGTTCCCAACCCACCCCCAGCCTCCAACGAAGAGGATGAAGCCATTCTCAAGCGCGTCCAAGCTAGAAGGGGAGAACGGGGCCTCCTCCCCCTCGACCTAGCACTTCTCCATTCATTCCCCGTTGCCGACGGCTGGAATTCATTTCTCGGCGCTATTCGTACCAAGACCTCGATTTCCCCAGACATTCGCGAAATCGCAATCTGTCGCGTTGCCGCTATAAACGAAGCATGGTTCGAGTGGAAACACCATGTTCCCTTGTTGACAGAGGCCGGTTTCCCCGATGAGGCATTAAAACTTGTGCAGCGTGGAGTAGACAACCCACCCACTGACGCTGAACTGGCGGCATTGATGTCCTCAAAACAAATTGCCGTTTTAAAGTACACGGAGGCAATGACGAGGACGGTTAATGTACCCGAAGAGGTGTTCGCGGAGTTGAGGAGGCATTTCAGTGAGAAGGAGGTTGTCGAGATAACAGCTACAGTTGCGGCGTATAATTGCGTGAGTAGGTTTTTGGTTGCGCTGGATGTTGGGGAGATGAACAAATAAATAGGTATGCAAGTGTGAAATATATGCGTGTCATTAGCGGCAGTGACTCGCGTTTGAGCTGACTCTGAGCCGATTTAGAGACTTGCTCATAAGTCCGGTTATGATGAGTTGCCTAATATAGCCCTGGTATAGAATCCACGCTGAATATAAGTTGCCAATTCGACCTTCAACAAGGGATTCCTCAAATCTAATATAAATTTCTCATGAAGGCCTAAAAATCTGTTGGAGCGGGAAACGAACAAGGCTTCAGTGTATGTAATTTTGATTGGAAGGAAATAATTAAAGGATAATTGGTGATAAACATTAATTGAAATCCGGTTTTAAGCGGCGCAACCTGGCATTCGCTGGGTCTTTCCTTATTTGACAATATAATTTTGTATTCGTTGATATGAGGCATATTTAAATTCAACAAGAGAAAATATAAGGGGATTTTCTTTTATACACCGGTTTGAGTAGTTTTGAGTAGTTCCCCAGCCATCTTAGAGAAAAGTGCAAGGATAGGAGGAGTAGTTAAGGGGTGGAATGGAGAAAGAAATGTTAGTACCAAACAACCCCTGCCCTAGGTTAAGTCCTGTCATTTTCTGTTGTATTGGTGTTACACATCTCGGTATCTAGTTACATAATAATAATTATTGGAACATGTGCGTATGAACTGGTCTTGTTTAGTGAAGGATCATTATTCTCTGATTATTGTCAAAAAATTTGCTGAAGAAAAATATGTCTAAGGTACAGCAAGTTGCATACCATCCCTTGGACAAAAGTGAACAGAGCAACAAAGGACTTGTTGTGTTGATGTTGTGCTGTCAAGATGAAAAAAACAATATCAATACATCTTATGGTACAGAAAGTTCTCACTTTTGATTGGCCAGGACAGGAGTCTGCAGGTAACGTGACTTTGCTCCAGCATTGTAGTAGATCCAGCTCTTAGACCCAGAATGCAGAAATCTTTACTACAAGATCAGTTCCTTCAAGGCTACAACAACATTAAAATATCCTGAACATATGGAAATAATATGTGTCTTGAGAGCTGTTGACCAGTGATTCATCTCTCCCTTTCTCTTCTGTTGTTGTTTTATTACTTCCTTGTCCGATTCAGCTCCACGCCGCTTTGACCGAGTTTCTACCTTACCTCGCAAAAATTCTTTTTACTCTGTACTCGCCCATCGCCACCCGCCCACAGGCTTCGCGAAGTTGTGGCCAGCGGTTAATTCTTCTTATCATTTACTTCCTATTCTCTTCTATTAATTATTACTTTTAATTTTAAAACTTCTGCTGAGCGGATCCTTCGTCTAATTCGAGGGCCAAAGATTCAACTCCAACAACTAACTCAATTTGCGGCTGGCGGTTCGAATCTAGCCAAAACCTGGCATTGAATCAATTCTATTCCCTCTCCTTCGTTGTTGCAAAACTTTGAAATAACCCGATGTATTATTGCTGAAACGCTTAGCAATTGCTAATCATTAAATCGGATTTCATCAGCGGTTCAGGTACGATACTTTTTTTATTATTTCTTTCTTTTTTTTCCCTCCCAAGTTCCAGTCGCGTCTGGCGATGCCACATACTATTTGGACTTGCATTACCCGAGATAACCTAAATTGGATGTTCCCGCCAAAATTCATAATATACCCATGTTTACTGCAAACACTATGACGATATGTCGAGTTGCCGCTTCGCTAGGCCGATGCTTTTGTCTATAACCTTTACTACAGGTTGTTTTGGTTTATTTTCTTTTTTGTAGATTTTATGTTTTGAATATTTACTATGCGCTGTTTCGGGATACTTTCATTCTCTTTTTCGGACGCGGCGCTCGTCCTGGTCTATGCGCACATACTGAGTTTACCTACAGATAAGTAGATTGTCATCATGTCATTTTTGGTTCAAGATGATATAGACATTGGCGCTCGGGGTACAGAAACGCCAAGATCTCCTTCATCGCCGTTACGCTTGCAGCAATCGGAGCCGCCCAGACCATCGTCTCGTTCAATTCAATCAACTCCCGCTGCTACCAGCCTTCTGCCCTTGAAATGTGCATGGTGTAATGAATCATTTCAGCCTACCAAAGAAAATGCAATTTCCCCTGCTGAGGAGCTCAGGCAACATATGGTGATTGCTCACCCCGAAGTGTCCCTGGTTGAGCAAGATGCCGCTGACGAGACTCCTCTTACTGAATCTGGCCTCGATGAGACTGAGCAAGCTAGTCGTCTCGAAGCATTTTCCCGTGAAGCGGTAATTGTGGAAAGGCGCCTTGATGCGTTTTGGAATATCAATCATGTTCAAAAATTCACTGACGACTACGATGGAGAGAGTGAGGATCTTCCTGCATTCTGGAAAAATACATTTGGCGATTTTGAACGCCCGAAGCCATATGAGACAGAGGCTGTGGCGAAGGGAAATTTTCTACCAATCACCAAGCCCGAAATTTATGTTGACATTTTAAATGACCCAGAGTCACACACGACCGAAGAGCTTTACGCCATCACGGCAAATACAGCCCGGGCTCTCAGGGTGTGGCAGGATGAGTACCTAGCCATCGACAAACTATCGAAACGAGCCACACGGCATTCATTGAAAAAGGCTGCTAATCCACGAAAGCTGGAAGATCCGCTCGTTTTTGAAGATAAAAAAGAAGCGATGCTTTATGGATACAAACACGATCCCCGGGAATCAAAAATAGGATTCCAAGACCCATTTGCCCAGGGAGGCTTCAAACCAACTCCAACGCAACTGAAAAGGCTGAAACTCAACGCTGCAGACCCTTTCAATGTTGATGGTTGGAAACCAATTAAACTTAATGGTGTCGAGTACATTCCCGGAGTCCGCCCGCCGTCCAAACCAGCTCCCAGAAAGAAGCCTATAGAAGTGGACACAGCGGATGCGAGTGGTACAACGAATGGTATAGATCGTGAAACTGATGGCCGCCCAAAACGAATAACCCGGTTTGGGGGCTTCAGACATGCCTTAACTAGAGAAACCTCCCAGGTACAAACAGAGCCGTCAAGCCCCGTCTCTGCACCAACGCCTGCAAGAGCTAAACGACCCAAGTCACGCGCGACTTCAACAACCCCTCAACTACCTTTACAACCCAGTTCTCCGAAAACTAGTACACCTACCACTCGTCCAAATCAGCCCGTTAAATCATTAACCGTGAAGCTGGCAACATCCGGGATTCCAGTTACAACGGCCACCCCCGTAACACCGACCGCTACTTCTCATTCAAGACGATCAATTACTAGGGAACGTGCTTCTACACCCCTTTATGAAGATCCACTCCTGGACCCCAAGAACCAACTTAAGATCCAACAGTCCAAGAATCCAAAGCGAACAGAGGCAATGATCATCCACTGGGCAAAATTTAACCACGAAGGTCGAACCAGAAACCCAAAGCGAACCAAAGCGCAGATTGAGGCGGATAAAGCTGAAGCAGAAAAGCAAGGGGGCGCCTCGAAGGCCCCTCCTGGGCGAAAGAGGAGATCTAACTCGAAGAGTGGTGGAGCCGATAACCAAGACGCTCCCCCTAAGAAGGCCAAACGTGTTGCAAAAGGCACCCTAGCACCAGCTACGCACGAAAGGGTTGAGCCAGCAGAGCCTTACCAGATTGTTCAACCGCAACCTGAACTTCGGCGACCTGACCTTTTGATAAATCCATTAGCTGTCCCTACACATCCCCAAGTCCGATACAGTCCCTACGGTGGGCAGGTATATCAAGTAAGCTATAACCAGGGCAACCATCGTCAATAGTTAAGCGAACCTTGTTTTTAACCGTTCTGGGGCAATTTCGACATGTCTATATATGGAAGTCTAGGGGATGGAAAACGTGGTCGGCGTGGTGGGCTTAGCATTTTTGGCACAGAAGGCGTTGGCGGGATTTTCGCATTTAGATTTTTGTGTATCATATCATATGGATTCCCCGGTTTATATGTTGTTGTTTTCTTTTCATTTCTCTTTGCGACTTCTTATACTTTTTCTTTTTGCTTCGGTCGGTCGGGAGTCTTTACGTGGCGAGGATATTGTGTTAAGTGGTGCCCATGATCTGTCTATGTAAATAGTTATTATTACCCCCGTTGGCTACTTCATGTATTCATAGAACAGGAAAAATTTACGAATCTGTATAAATTAATTCTTTTCAAGGAATTACTATTATTGCTTCTTTCAATGTCTTATCTCAGAATCGTGTATACAGAAAACTTGACCTCGCTAAGTGCGCCACTTGACCTCGTTACATAATCATGACCCCGACCTCGCATAATACAGTAATAATCAGTTGGTAATTGACTTTCAATCTTTCAATCCACTCATTCATTCAGCTCATCAATCAATCAAAGCATGTATAGCTGAATCCTGATTCATAATCAATTAAATAAACAGATAAATTCATATAGAATATAAAGAGATATTTTACAGAATTTTAAAATATATCAAGATAAAAATATTTAATAATTAATTTTAAATTGATTTTAAATTGATTCTGAATTGATTCTGAATTAATTATAGTAATAAAAATAGATTTAATCTATATATTTAAGTAATTAATAATTGATTGAAAATCAGTTAATAATCAATTCAGTATTATTATTAAATTCAAGAATAATTTCAGTATTAAATTGATTTTAAATTAATTTTAAATTGATTTTAAATTGATTCTGAATTGATTATTATGACGTGCTTCTGCTCTCTATTTAAGTCAATTCTCTATTCAGCTCTAGCTTCTGCTTCATCTCTTGCTGTTTTCTGAAGCTTCTACTTCTATCTTCTTTCTCTGTTCTTCTCTTCATATGTGATTGCTTCTTCTATAAGAGCTTTCACTTCTTCTCTACAGAGTCTTTATTCTTTTCTTTATATATAATCACTTCTTCTATGAGAGTGTTTACTTCTTCTCTACAGAGTCTCTGTTCTTCTCTTCATAGATAATCACTTCTTCTACAAGAGCTAATCTCTATAGAATAATCACTGTATATATAAGAGTGTACACTCATCTTTCATTTTTAAGAGAATAAGACAAGTTTTTACTCTTATATCTGACTCTATGTAGCAGTATACACTACAATTTAATAGCATGTTTTATTAAGAATCAAGTTCTTCTAGCCTCTTTAACTTTCACTTCACTCTCAATATATATAGCACTGATGATTGAATCAGACTGTGAACACTGAGAATTGACTAGCTGATAATCAGTCTGATTAGTTACTCTATCTTCTTTTAACACTGTAGCTAGTAATTGATCTGATCTGCAGTTATTTAAATCTATCTCATTTAACACTATAGCTAGTGATAGATCTGACTGATGATTATTTAAGCATCTTTCACTTCAGAATGTTATAGCACTAGTGATCAGTCTAGAATATAGTCACAGTTACAGTAAACTTATCTTCACACTCTTATATAACTTTATCAGCTTCATCATAATAATGAAGCAGAACAGATAAATCACTTAAAGTAGCTTCTATCAGTCACTTTCTTTCACTGAATTGAATGAGCTTATCAGTAAAATTGAACAACTCATCTGAGAATTTATTAATAAACCTGACTCAGAATAAACTTATTTATAAATAATAACTGAAAAGTATGCTATTATAATTACAGAAGTCTGATGAAACATAGATAAATAGTATAAGAGTGTTAAAAGTCAAGTGACACTGTACAATTATATCAAAGTGAAAGATATTCTTATAAGTGTATTAGTCAGATATTACAATGATATAAAAACAGCTCTTAACTTCACTTCAGTAGTGAAATGAAAGAATGTTATTAATCTCTGATTACAGATCTTTCACACAGATATTACAAAGAATACTAAGAAGAGAAGTTTAATAGTCTTAAGCTTTTATAAATTCAATCACTAGAACTGCACTTCTTCTGATGAAGCAGTAATACTAGATATGATTAAGAAGTTAGAATAGCTAGAAGTTCAACTGATCTGATAAGAGAGTAAGCTCAATGAATATGAATATCAGCTTGATCAGTGAAAGAAGCAGTTGAATAAGTATATCACTCTTATTGACAAACATGTCAGCAAACTTCAAGAGAATCTTAAATAATTGACAGATGAAAGAAGCAGATTAGCAGAAGTATGAAATAGCTTTCACACTGAGAAAGCTGTACTTATCACTTAAAGATAGAAGCTGAATCATTATCAGTAGATGAACTGTTCAGCTCAGATCAACAGAATAGATATTAAAGCTGATAATTCTCTTAACAAGTCTGCACAGTAATTAGATGTCTTCTTTAAGAAAGACTTCAAATTATCTTCTAGAATCTGACAAATATCAGCAATTTCATGAGAACTGTGTGATGCTGAAGACAGAACACATCATCATAATCTAACAAGAGACAGAATTAATTTTCTCAGAGAAGCTGACACTGTGCATTTTACTTATAACTCAGAGAGAAATCAGATGTGCAGAAATCAGATACTCACTCATGACAATCTTGATCTTCTGCTTGATAGTGAACTCTGTTCATTCACATGAAGTGATGATAGATCAGTGAGATTACAGACTGATGATATTATGCTATTCAACTCAGCAGAAACAGATATAATGATATTTATCAGTTGCTTAGAATTCATCATTATATAGAAGAGAGATGACATGATTCTCTGTATATTCTCTCTATATCTGAAGAGTCAGATGTTGAAATAGCATAATGATCTGTCTATTAAAATGAGAAAGAATATAAATGTCTTTCTCTCTATCACTGTTAATAAGTTAAAACATGAGTTTCAGCTATCAGAAGAAGAAGCTTGAATGAAAGCTCAGACTCTGTGTTTTTTCTTTAAGAAGTCAGATGAACTATCTCTGATATTATATATCTCATAGAAGATTAACTTACTGTGAGCTGCTGTAATCTCTGATCTTATTATGATAAAGAGGCTCTTATGAGAGAGTTTAGAGTTCAATCTTTTCTTAATTATATCACTTATTTTTACTGAATGATTGAATAACTTCTGATAATAAATTAGAGATAATAAGTCAGCTGTCTGATATGTCTGAACTGATCAGAAGACTCAATTCACTAACTATATATATAGTTTCAGATGTTTTGAACAGAATAATAATCACTGTCTGTATCACATCTCTCTGTTCAAGCAGACAGAAGCTACAAAGCTGTCTATGTCTACTGCAGAGATAGTAGCAATTCTCACAAGTACTCTCACAATGAGTAAGTTACTGATTCAGTGTATAATAGAAGAAGGAAGACTGCTGATATCTATAGCAGAGTACTACATCTGTAGAGACTCTTATTATATTAATCACTGTCTTAAAAAAGAGAAGAACAGCAATTATTCAGTGAATTAAGTCAAACTGAAGAGTACTGAGAAAGATAATGATAAGCTGCTGAATCTAGATCTCAGTCTAGATTCTAACAGTGAGTCAGAAAAATAATCAGTGAGATAGATACTGAGAGACTCATCTCATCTACAGACATTTTCTCAGATGATTATCAGAATATCTTTAATACTGACATATATGCAGTTGCAGTGTGTGATATCTCTATAAGTGATTAAGAATATATTAGTGAACTACAGTATTTATCTTATATCTTTCTCATTATTTCTATCATTACATCACAAGATGATCTCTCTATTTACATGAATACAGATACAGATATATCACTTATTAACATAATAATAGCAAATCTATTCTTCTCTCATTATCAATCAATCTCTATATCACATGATCAATGTGTGAGCATTCAAGAAATTGACTCAGAAGCTGATGAATCAAATCTATTCATAATAACAGATCTTATCTTGAGAACAGACAATGATTCTCTTTTCATTATTGAAGATAAATTTCACTTAGTGTGATATCTCAGATGCATATAATCATAGCTAATAATGTCTCTTTTATCAGTGAAAGTAACTATCAATGTTTATAATAAACTTGTTACATTTCACAGAAGATATTTCATAAATGTCAAGATCATCAGAGACACTATTCACATGAGTAGATGTCTGTCAAACTCACAGTCACTCTGACAGTGAAAGAAGATTGCTATTTATGCTGTTAATGTCAACATCATTCATCATTCTGACTGAGAAGATTCTCTGTTTTCTACCTTGTACATTGAATTACATTTGATGAATGTGAAAGATCAGAATAATTCACTTCAAATTCTCACAGCAGACACTCTCACTGAGCAGATTTAAGTGAATATATCAGATTACTGAGTGGTAGAAGACTGAGCAGTCATTTAAGCAATCATTGATCAACATCACAAACTATTTAGCTTCAGCCTAGGCTTATTTTCAGACAATGTTAAGATGTCACTGTGATTCATTAATAAGAGCAACTTTTCCAGCCTGAAACAGAGACTCTATTCTCTGTCTCAAAGAGATTATAAAGCTGCTGATCAGATTCTGAACCTGCTTCTATAAGATAGAAGAATTGAACATGTTTCTCTTAGAGATAGAAATCTCATTGCTTCATCTGTCTTTGTGATCTGACTTAGAGAAAAGCTGAGAGTAATGATTGATTTATGAAAAGTAAACACATACTTACTTCTCAATACATATTCTCTATCAATACAATAAGATGTATTGCAATCACTCAGTGATTCTACAGTATTCTTATTCATAAATATCTGTCAAGGCTTCTTTCAATAAGCAATTGAACAGAATAATTATTTCAAAATCATATTCATGATCTCACACTGAGATCTTGAATATTTTACAGTCATCACAATAAGATTGACAATCTTGCCTGAGTTCTTTCAATAATATATGAAGAAGATTCTAGCAAAATTTCTATGATAATTTGTGTTAGTCTATGTAGATAATATCATCATCTTCTCTCACTCACTGAATGAATATCTTCATCATATGCAGCAAGTCTTTACAGCTCTTAAGATATCTGAGATAATAATGTTATTAACTAAATGTTATTTCATATATCTCTCAGTGCATTTGCTGAGTCATCATATCAATTAACTAGACATATCTACTTAAGAAGAGAAAGTAGCTACTATTACTAATCTAGTCTTCTCTATAACACTCAGAGAACTAGAAGAAATCATCAGTCTCTTCAATTATTATCATGATTTTATCAGTTTTTATACAGATCAGATGAAAGTATTAGAGACTCTTAAGATCAAGTTACTGTATAACAGTTCAAAAACAGGTCAGAAAAGAGCATTATATACAGCTAAGATTAAGTTAATAAGATTTAAGAAC